CAGGGAAATCCCGGAGTCTCTTCTCCAGCTCGGGGAACTCGGGGGCTGCATGCAGAGGCGTCACCTCCTCGCCCCTGCAGAGACACATGGGCAATTATTGCTCTTGCTCCTCAGCCAGAAGTCCCCACGCCCTCCAGGCCACAAGAGCGAATGGTGGGAGCTGGGGCACCGGGCACAGACTGTGCGCGACAGGCCAGTCGGTGCCCGCGCAGGCTGCTGGCCCCCAGCCCTGGCACTGACAGGTGAAGCCGATACGCAGAGGCCTTCAAGCAGTGTTACACTAGCAGGTGTCAACCAGCAAACCCTTCTTGTGCAGCCACCGCTCACACCAGCAAAGCACTACTATTCCCTGTACAGCTTGCACCAGTGCCAGAGGGAAAATCTCTACTGGGAAAGACCTGGATGCTGGTGCATCGAGTGTGGTCCAGGGCTTTTGCCCTGAAGCTACATGGTGCAGGGGTTGGAAATGTTCACTCTCCTATCAGGCCCTGGTCTTGGCCCATCCTCAGAGAAAATGCAGCCAGGCAGAGGCAGCCTGAGCCCCCTGACATGTGTCCTGACCACCGCCCTCTCTGGGACAGAGACAGGGACAGGGACAGGCTGCTCCTGGGACTGAGGGGCCCAATCTCTGGGCCAACATGCGCCGCAGTCTCATTCCCAGCATCCAAGGCCCGGGACCCTGGGGAGGTGTCTGCCCATGGACACTGTCCCACTGGGGCCTGGGCTCAGACCCTCGGTTCCCTCCCCACAACCCCCTGGCCCCTCTGCCAGGACAGACTTCCACCCATTACAGAGCCCAGAGCCCAGCCCGGCCCCAGGGAGGGGCTTGTTCAGCCCAGGGTGGTGGGATCCCCTGCCCCGGCTGGGGCACAGGGTGGCAGCACCAGCCCCAGGGCCACAGGGATGGAGGAGGCTGGATCCGGAGCAGAAACTCTCCCAGACTCAGGGGCTGCGGGCTGGGGCTGCAACCTTGTCTTGGCTAGTGGGAGAACATGGGTGAGATGAAACCCGAACGTACCTGCTCACAGCGCGTCTGACACCCTGGAGGGACAAGACACAGAACAGAGTCACTGTCACCGCCCGGCGCAGCCCTTCCTTGTGCCTCCACGAGCACGGCCTCACTCACCCCGGCCCCTCTGCAGGGATGGACGCCCCTCTGCCTGGGCCTGGGACTAGGACGGGAGCAGGAGCAGCCTTTTCTTCCCCCCCCCTGCCTGCCCGACTGCCCCAGCCCCCGTGTCCCTGCAGCTCCATACCTGGGGCCCTGCATGCACCCTGATGCCCCCCTATCCTGCATCACCCTGGGAGCTCCCTGGGACCCGGGGGCATCGCCTCTCTGGGCCGGGCACTGGGGCACGTCTGACCCCGTCTCACCTGCAGGAGCTCAAGCACCGGCTGCTGACACTTCCCCTCCAGCTCCGTGATCAGGGCGCTCAGGCGGGCAGTCTCCTTGCCCAGGCGGGCGGCATTTTCCTCCCTCCTCCTCTCAATCTCCGTGTCCAGCTCTCCCAGCCGGGCCAGGCAGACCCGCTCGTGTTCATCCAGGAGCTGGCGCAGCCCCTCGCACTCGGACACCACCAGCTGCCGCTCCACCTCCGTCTGCCTCTGGGGTGGGCAGAGACGTGCAGGGCAGGGCAGGGCCACGGGGACGGGGGACGGAGAGGGGAACTGGACACTCAGCGCAGATGTCCCCGAGACTTTTCCAGGCTGCAGACTATGCCTCATTCCCGCCCCACAGGGTCCAGCCCAGGGCATTTGCGGGGGACGCAGCCATGCCGGTCCCAGAGGGGAATTTCTCAGCCCCCAGACACCCCAGCACTGCGGGTGCAGCGGGACCCCCAAGACCCAGGGGTTTGCAGGGCCGGGCGCTGAGAGCGCAGCGCTGCCCCGACCCATCCACGGTGCAGGATCCTGCCCCTCGCTGACCCTGCCCGACCTGCTGAGGGAGCGCCAGAAACGTCTGCCAGGCCTGACCCCAGCACAAGCAAAACCCTCCCCCGGCCCAGCCCGACCCACGGAGACCGGTGCACGGGATGTGGGGGCACTGCCCTTCCCCTCCCTGCCCGCCGGGGGGGCAGGGCCAGATGCTGCTCTCCCTGTGCCAGCGCAAACCCTCAGACTCCTGCATTTCAGCACTGTCACTGCCCATTTCCACTAAGGGAAGTGAGCCCTGCAGGCTTGATTTGACCCCCGGCCCCCCCCCAAGTCCCGACACCCCCCGCCCTGCCCCAGCGCTGCCCCCCTGCGCCGGGCACCCACCCGGAGCCGTTGGCTCTCCTGCTCCCAGGCGCGGTTCAGGCCCCGCAGCTCCTCTCTCTGCTCCCGCAGGCGCTCCAGGCGGCTCCGCATCCGCTCCTGCACACACAGCACATGGCTCTGGGGCCCGGTTCGGGCTCTCGGTGATAAACCCTCCCTGCTCGCGCCCCCAGAGCCAGCGCCCCCAGCCCCACGGGCACTGCGGCCAGACGGGCCGGACCTGCCCCGTCCCTCCGCCACCGCCGTGTCCAGCCGCGTGTGTGCCTGGGCCCATCCTCGGCCGTCCCCATCCCCGGCTCTGGTCCCGCTGATGGGACACGCGGGGCTGCCTGGCGGCCGTCCCCACCTGGTAGTCCTGGGCAGCCTCCTCCACGGGGATCACAGTGTGATGGCGGTGCTCCCGGGACCTGTCGCACACCACGCAGATGGGCGCCTCGTCCTCCTGGCAGAAGAGCTTCAGGGCCTCCTGGTGCCTCTGGCACACGGGCAGCCCCGCGGGCTCGCTCCCCGCCGGCAGCCGCAGCCGCAGCCGCTTCACCAGCTCCACCACGTTGCCCAGCTGCCTGTTGGGCCGCAGGTCCCTGTGCGGGGCCGTCGCCCTGCACTGCGGGCAGCAGCCGTGGGGCTGCGGCTCCCCCCAGCACTGCCTGATGCAGGCAAGGCAGAAGTTGTGTCCGCACTCGAGAGTCACCGGGTCCGTGAAATAGTCCAGACACACGGGGCAAGTCACCTCCTCCTGGAAGCTCCCCGCCAGGTCCCCCGCGGCCATGGCTCCTGGCTCCGCGCACGGCAGGGCCAGGGACTTCCACTTTCCCAGCACAGCCCCCTGTTTCCTTCCTGCTCTCCGCAGGGCCTGGGCGGAGCTCGGCCCCGCAGCCCGAGCGGAGAGAGCCGGGCAGGGGCAGGGGCAGGGGCAGGGGCAGGAGCACCAGCCCTGCCCCACACACCATCTCTGCAGGGCCTGGGGCTGCCCTGGGGCTGGGGCCAGATCAAGAAACCCCTGGGCTGGGGCTGCAGCCTGGGCCGGGGTCGGGGTAGCTCCTGGCTCTGCGTTTGGGACAGAGACTGAGCCAAGTTGCTGCTGCGTCCGGCTGGGAGCAGGAGCCCGGGCGGAGCAGGGCTGTTCCCCGAGTGGGGCTGTGCAGGGAGAGACCTTCCCCCTCTGCCCAGCCCAGGAGGGACTTTCTCTGGGGCTGGAGCCGGCCCTAGGGCAGCCCTGTGCTCTGTGCATACCAGAAAATGCCAACTCCTTTTTGGAGCCTCGAAGAAGAATAGAGCAGGTCTCCTGTTGCAGAAACTCAGAAAAGGCACAACAGTCAGGTTGTTCCCAACACTCCTGGTTTCTCAGTGAACCCCCTAGGTGTATCGCAGTGGTCTCCAGCCCTTTTATGGTGAAGATCACTTTCTGCAACTACTGGCACCCCGAGACCTACTGCACTGCCTGCCCCGGACCCCACGTGCCCCTGGACTGCAGAGAGTCCCAGCCCCGGCTGGGCCACGGCCCCTCACCATGTTCGTCTGGCCACAGGGTGGACGTGACGCAGCACAGCTGCAGTACAGAGGTGGGGTCGGGCCCGGCCTGGCAGGGTCTGGCACTCTCTGTGGTCCAGGGGCACGTGGGGAGGCTCCTGCCATTGGGCACAGCCTGGCAGGGGCCCCGCGGGTCCATTCCCTTTCCCGCCCTGTGGTCTGGGTGCAGTGGGCAGCCGTCACCAGCAGCCGCCTCCTCCCAAGCACAGGTGGCGGCCCACATCCCCCAGGGCCTCTGCCGGGCTGTGCGGCTGGGCCGGGGTCCCCCCGATGTGAGTCCCCACTGATTAGCTGAGCCGTGCTTGCAGTGAGGCTTGAGGTGCAGCAGTAGCAGCCTCTGCCACCTCTGTCCCCACAGAGATGTGAGCAGTAGCAGCCTCTGCCACCTCTGTCCCCAAAGAGATGTTGGGGGAGACTCCCACACCCATGGAGGAGCCCCCCAGGCTCCAATCCTCCCAGCACCCGGCCAGCCTGGGGCCCCACTTGCCTTCCCCGCTTCCTGGCTGGGCTGCAGGGTCAGTCACTCGCTGTGGGGGCCTCTATCTGCCCCCTGCCCCTTCCCTCTCCTCCCCTCCCCTAGAGATTGACCTGCTGGGGCTGGGGGCGGCAGGTGTGTGCAAGGTGGGGTCGGGCCCGGCCTGGCAGGGTCTGGCACTCTCTGTGGTCCAGGGGCACGTGGGGAGGCTCCTGCCATTGGGCACAGCCTGGCAGGGGCCCCGCGGGTCCATTCCCTTTCCCCCCCTGTGGTCTGAGTGCAGTGGGCAGCCGTCACCAGCAGCCGCCTCCTCCCAAGCACAGGTGGCGGCCCACATCCCCCAGGGCCTCTGCCGGGCTGTGCGGCTGGGCCGGGGTCCCCCCGATGTGAGTCCCCACTGATTAGCTGAGCCGTGCTTGCAGTGAGGCTTGAGGTGCAGCAGTAGCAGCCTCTGCCACCTCTGTCCCCAAAGAGATGTTGGGGGAGACTCCCACACCCATGGAGGAGCCCCCCAGGCTCCAATCCTCCCAGCACCCGGCCGGCCTGGGGCCCCACTTGCCTTCCCCTCTTCCTGGCTGGGCTGCAGGGTCAGTCACTCACTGTGGGGGCCTCTATCTGCCCCCTGCCCCTTCCCTCTCCTCCCCTCCCCTAGAGATTGACCTGCTGGGGCTGGGGGCGGCGGGTGTGTGCGTGCATGCATGCCCAGCTCTCCCCCAGCAGGATCTACCAAAAGAGGCTCCAGGATCTACCTGTAGATCAGGATCCCTGGGTTGGTGACCACTGCTGTACTGTGTGGCTCACATCTGAACACCTAACAGTGTTAACACAGGGGGGCACCTGTGGCACCCTGCCATGGCACCCTGGTCGGGGGTCACTGAGCGTGTGAGGCAGCTCCCAGAGCTGGAAGTGGCTGAGCTGTGGGTCCTGCTCTCTGGGGAGCTGCTCCACCTGCGTCCTGGTGCCCTGGTCTTCACCAGTCATGGGGTCAAGGGCCAGCTCAGGAGAGTGGGCAGGCACTGTCCCTGTGCCTCCTGGTCTTGGCAGTCACCACCCAGCATCCCGCCCTTCTTGAAAGGCTCAGAGCAGCTCACAATCACCAACTTACCTACAGGCGGGTTCTCCAAACAATACCCGAAACCTGGGAACTCCAACCCCCCCAACCCCTGCCGCTCTGCACTAACCCCTGCATAAGCAAAGCCCTCCCCACAATGCCAACCACGTCTCCTAGCTGCCCCTCACATCTGGATACAAGAAAGCTCTCCCCTCCCACCCTGCCAGACCCACAGGCTGTCCCTGGCAGTGTGGCCTGTCAGTCGGTGTCTGGAGCCTGCAGCCCCTCCCAGCCCGCAGCCCCATAACCCTGGGGGATGTGCCGGGCAGGGCCCGTCACTTGTTTGGGGCCTGGGGGGTCTGGAGGCTGAAAGCACAAGTAAATCTGCTCACCCGCCTCCAGTGCAATGAGTCCCACTCCCTCCCCCAACCTCCAGGCTGGGCTATATTGAAGTAAGAATCAAGGAATCATGGAAAAAGGGGGCTGGCAGGGACCCCCGGTGGTCATCTAGTCCGGCCCCTTGCTGAGGCAGGGTCATTGCTGGCGAACCCTCCCATACAAATCTGTTGTCTAACTCCCACTGTCACTACTGGGCTACCCTGTCACACACCCACAAGGTCCAGTACCTGAACCTGTCACAGGCAAGGCAGGGGCACCGTGGTGGCCAATGTCCTGCTGCTCCCAGAGTTGTTACAATAGACTAGAGAGATCCTGGGAGGAAGGTCACACCCTGAGTTACTGGGGAAGGCAAACCCCCAGCCTGCACCCATCTCACCCAGGGGTAAAATTCCTTCCTTCCCCCAAGTGCAGCATTAACCTGGACCTGAGTTGAGGGGCAAGACCCTCTAGCCATGTGCTCACACATCCCTTACATCTCCTCATGCTCTGACACCTGGAGAAGCTGCCCCGGGGCCGGGGCATGACATTGCATGTCTATGGCATGTTAGAATGTGTCTGTAAGGTGTCAGTGTGTCTGTGGCATGTCCTTTGCACATTGGGGCACGTCCGTGGCGTGTTGGAGTGTCAGAGCTCCAGCCTCTGCTCCCAGGTGCAGGACAGCTCGCCCAGCTTGAGGTGGTCGTAGTCCATGCCGCTGGGGACAGCTGGCCGTCCTTCCTGGCTGAGTAGCTCGAGCCCTCATGCAGCTTCCCCATCATCACTCAGGGGCAGGAGACCTCCAAGACCCCCGGCCCCCGGCTCCACTACCCGCCCCCTGCCCGTCCCCTGAGTGCTGTAGAGGATCTGGGGGGAGAGCTTGACCTTGACCTTCTGTGCGGCGGTGTTGAACTGCGTGGCCTGGCGCTCCACGCCTGCTTGTTCACCTTCTCCTTCAACAGCTCCAGGATCGCGTTGCCTGCACGGGGTCACTGGGGTAAGTGCAGGGCTGGGGGCCAACCTCCTCTTAGCAACCCCAAGCAGGCCAGGCACCCCCAGAGCCCCCCTTGCAGGCCCCCAACCCTAAGGGGCCCCGCACAATGAAGATGCCCCAATGTTCCATGCCCCGCCCCCTGCACAAGCCCCGCCCCCAGGCTCCAGGCTCCACCCATCCCACCAATCCCCTTCCCAGCCCAGCCCACAGCCAGGGTTTGCCTGTGGGGCAGTCCTCCTCAGGCTGGTGCCCGTGCCCTCCTCTGGAGCTTCAGTCCCTTGCTTTGGCAGTGGCTGGCAGGCTGGGAGCCGTGCTCTAGCGCCCCCCGGCTCTAGCGCCCCCCTGGGCCACTGTGGGGATGTGGCTGCCTTCCCTGGACAAAACCCGAATGTCTGTCCACTTGCTTCTCAGTTCAGTCCATGCAGCTTCGACTGACAGGTGAGCACTGACTGCGTTGTTTCATCCTCAGGCTCTTTGGCTGTCTGTGCTTAGCTCAGCAACCACTCAGCTAGCAGCACGCAGAACTGCTGCTCAGAGCACAGGACCCACACACCCAGCCCGCCAAACCAGCTCTCAGCAAGCCCAGCACAGGCAGGCCTTGCTCCCTCTCCTTCCCATCATGTGCGTGTGCACATTGCCTCCAATGCATCTTCCCCTCACACCAGTCCCTCCCTGCCTGAGCACCCCAATGCAGAGCTGGCTGTATGTGGGCTGTTCCACAGACGTGACCGAGGTCAACACCGTGGCCTGTGAGTGGTACAGCAGCTGTCACGGCTGCATCCTGAGTTGCGACCCAGCCTGCACCTGGAGCAGTGAGCTGGGTGCCTGCGTTGTGCACCAGGGACAGAGTGTGTGAGTCCCTCCCCTCCTGCCCCGTGGCCCTAACCATGGCATGTCCTCTTGGCCATCTGCAGAGCTCTCTGTGGCCCTCCAGTTGCCCAGGACTGCCCCTGCCACAGTCCGCCAGTCCACCGGTAGTGGTTCCCAGGGACTGGCCTCTGTCGCTGACCTGCTGGCC